ACACCAACCTCTGAACTCCAACACCAAACTGCTGCTTATAAGGGAAAACATTTAGCCAATCATCATCTGTTGCTAGGCTTCCCTATCTCCAAGCAGACTTTCTCAGATACTCTTGCTTAACTTGGCTTCTTGACAACTCACTAATTGTCCTCTTCAAAGCTGCAGTTTCTCACAAACCTCAACAGGCTCTGGCAGGGTCCTAGAGTCCTTCTGCTTCCTTCCCAAAGCCAGACAACCACTTACTGGGCATTGAGAAGGAGGCATGAAGGCTCTAGGGCCCTACCTTGTTTACCCAGCTTAAGCTGACGCTGCAAGGGCTGTGAGGAGGGTGTCAAATGTTGGCCTCTCACAGGGTGGCATATTACCAAGGTCTGCCCCTGACTGAGAGACCCCCTGACCTGGGATATTGAGGGCTCCTGGGAAGCAGGGGCTGGGATGAAGCTAACAATAACCTGTTAGAACTCCAGAATTATAGCCGAGTACCATTCTTGGCAAGGGACGCGGGTGGCGCTGTGGGTTAAACCACAGAGCCTAGGACTTGCCGATCAGAAGGTCAGCGGTTCGAATCCCCGCGATGGGGTCAGTCCCTGCTCCTGCCAACCTAGCAGTTTGAAAGCATGTCAAAGTGCAAGTAGATAAATAGGTACCGCTCTGGCGGGAAGGTAAACGGCGTTTCCGTGCACTGCTCTGGTTTGCCAGAAGTGGCTTAGTCATGCTGTACGCTGGCTCCCTTGGCCAATAAAGCGAGATGAGCGCCGCAACCCCAGAGTCGGCCACGACTGGACCTAATGGTCAGGGGTCCCTTTACCTTTACCATTCTTGTCAAGAAAGGAATACAATGTTGTAAAGTACACAGATGGGCCAATCTTGTCAATTTCAGCTTCTCTAATTTTTCCATTTTTACAATCTAAAGTTCTTTTCCTGACATATTCATATCAGTTTGCTAGTTTATTGCAGGGGGTGGGGCTCATGAAAATTGGCCCGCATCATAGTACCAATTTCTCCCTATATACACACTTTTGCAAAGCAATTTGCCCTAAGGTATGAATAGTGTGACCAGTTTTCTTTTTAAAAATGCAGTAGGAAAATGAATGTCTGCACTGGAGAACGAACACTTGTAAGGCTGGCTGATTAAATCTTTATCCAATACTGCCTTTCAGTTTTATCAAAATAATCTTCAGTCGGTCTTTGATGTTGGAAAGAATTAAGTAGACTGATTTGCATCCTGTTAATTTCTCTCCACTTCTGTTGGGCTGGCTTCACTCTCGCTTGATATCAGTCCTATTGGCTTCCCAACGGCATTGCTTCATAGCTAACAAGGTTGCCATTAAGTCCTAGTTTCAAGGACACAGAGCCAAAGCGGTGCTTAAAATGAGGTTAACATGTAGAATCTGACCTTGGTGTGTTTCATATCGGCAAATGGAAGGCTTGAAAAAGCGATAAAGGGTTTAGAGGAGCAAGAAATCTAATACTTTGTTAAATCAGCAAAAGAAGAAGAAGAAAGCCCCGTGCAGAAATTTTCTAAGCAAGCAAGTTTACAACCACACAGTTTAATTCTGGAGTGATAAGCTCAATTTCTGTCCCTCCCCCCGCAAGATTATATGGATGAACTAGCTAAAAAGAACAATTTTGGAGCAAACGCTTGTCATTGTTGTTGGCTTCCATCTGTATCAAGGAAATGATGGAGGAGTGCTCCTTTGCAGGTAAAGTCAAACAGTTGGAGAGTTACAGCGCTTGCTGTGACAGTGCAGACCAATGCAGAAGAGACATGTTTTATTGCAGCTGAGGCAGATGAAGGAGTCCAGTTATGCTGCTGCAAATGCATCATGGTGTTTCTTCTCTCTGCACTCCTCCCAGCAGCCATTCCTTCTCTGGTCACTGTTGGGGATACACGACCTGATTGCCTCCAGGCACAGCTGTCATCTGTCTACATGGCAGGGTTGCAGGCCTTCACGTCATATTCACAGACGTCATTGTAACACAGAGTTGGTCTGCCATTAAGTGGGTCAACAACAAGGCCACTTTTATTGCATTCTAGCTAAAGGGCTGACAGGTGTTGAAGACGTGAAGAGATCCTGTCCTTCCTCTTAGTTTCAGGGATGGTGAGCAGGTTCTAGGACGCCTAGGAACTTAGGAAATTGAATCTATTCAGGTAAATATTGCCAAAGGCTGGCCATGGGTCCCCAAGTTTTCAAATAGGGTTCCTTCTCAGCCTTACCTCGAGATGCCAGGGATTGTTTCTGCAGAGAAAGGGTAGCATCTTTATCACTGAGCTGTGGCTCTCAGTGTGAATTGGTATATACGATGGTTGGCTGGCATTGCATCCACTCTGTTTTTTGGCTGTTTTATTTTTCATGGTTTTATTTGTTGTATTTTACCTTGTTGAGTCACTTTGAGGCTTTTTATTTTGGCTAAACGGACTGATACGTTTAATTGATAGTACAGTGGAACCTCGGTTGTCGAACGCTTCAGAAGTCGAATGCTTCGGAAGTCGAATGTCGGCAACCTGGAAGTGAATGCTTTTCAAACGCGCCTCGGAAGTTGAATGGCTTCTGAGGCGCATTTCTCCATTTTTTCAATGGATTTTGCCAGCCAGCAATTGCGCCTCAGTTGGCAAACGTTTTGGAAGTTGAACAGTCTTCCGGAATGGATCTCATTCAACAACCAAGGTTCTACTAACAATATGCCTGCTTTATTGTTAGAGAGTTTTGTTTTTAAATGGATGTGTGTACCAGTGTTCCAGAGAACTTGAGTCACAAGTCTAACAAGACATACAATAAGTAATATAGAGTGAATGACCCTTCCCCAAAGTGATGGCCCTCGCCAGCCCATGTTCTCCACAAGCAAAGGACCACAGCATTATATTTAGAGAGCAATTGTGTGCACGAGAAGCAGACATAAAGTTACACTAGAACCAAATCCCATTCAGCATCTGGGCTGCTGCTCTCTGTCAAAGCTTGGCAGAAGGAAAACAAGCCTTTAAAAAAAATGTTCTATGCCAAGTCATGTGATCAAGCTAAATGGCCTTAGGATCCAGCCTAAGTCTTCCCTCTCTGGTCCTGCCACACTCTTTCTAGTCTGGCTGAGCCCTGGCTGACCTGCGATGAGCAGATTATAATGGCACATCTTTGGTGGAGCTGAGTTAGGGTGTTACCTGGTGGCAGCAAACCAGTCGCGGCTTATTTGCTAGCAAAATCAACTGTGCAGGAATAGGTCCATTGTAGCTATAGGTCTACAGGCTAGAATTTGTTACATGGATAGGTTTGATTGTGTAGAGAATTTTGTCTTGGTGGGAAGTACAGTGGCAGCTTTTCAGCAGTCTATATGAAGGGGCATGGCATGTTCACCAGCCCTACAATAGTGCTGTGAATTTCAGGACATTGTTTTTTGTGGTGGCCCCACATCCATGGAACTCCTTGCCTGTTGTCACCCACAAGTGCACCATAATGCCAGTATTTTTAGAAAGCTGCCTCTAGTGGCTCTGTAGGGAATGATTTGCTACTGTTTTTATATACTACATTTAATCAAACTATCGATTTGAATGGAGTTTTGGGAGGCATTATTTTATTTTGCTGCGGTCGGTATGCTCTGCCTTTAGTATATAAGGTGCTTTGAAAGAATTCTTATTTGGGAAGGCGATATATACATGTTTTAAAATAACCCAAAATGGATGATGTGTCAGGTCACTTACCTTCTAAAAGGGCTCAAGCTTCTCATAGGTATGGATTATGTGTATTGAGCAAAAGCTGAGCTTAGATGTGCAGGGGACTTATTCAGATTACTCAGATTTTATGTTACAAAGCCATTCTTTTTTACTTGTGGGGTTCCCCCCTCCAAAGCTGCCAAAATGCCTATTTATTTTTGTTATGCACGATAATTTGGAATAAATTATTACCACGGCATTCAGGGTATTAGCATAACTTATAGAGAACAAAGATAAAACATAGGTAAAACAACTCATTACAATATTTTTAATCAATTTTGAAAAATGCTCATGACCCAATGATATGCAGTCTTCCTCTGAAATCCCATTGAGGTTGTCTTAATTTGCTTCTGCTTGTCTGTATGCTTTCCTCCCAGTGCCCACAAACTCTGGGCAATGGCAGGGTAGGAAGAGATCTTACTACATCAATGTTCTTTGAGGGTGATGTTCTACCAATGCACAAGCATTTTATATACTTCAAAACGGCTACCAAGGCTTTTGGATAGTTATTGGGACCAATTGCATGAGGCAGAGAGAACCTATGTATACAGAACAACAAATGCACAAAGGGCTCCTGTGCTTATGGGGTGCTGAGGGTGAAATACTCTCAACATAGCTGTTGTATAAGAAATTGCAGCCTTTTATAGGGGGGTGGGAATAAGGAAGTGAAACCAGTACATACAGTGGTACTTTGGTTTTTGAACATAATCTGTTCTGGAAGTCCATTCGATTTCCGAAACCTGTCTGACTTCCAAGGTGTGTTCGAAAACTGAGGCATTTACTTCTGGGTTTTTGCCGTTCAAGTTCCAAAACATTTGGCTATGGAGGCGTTCGAAAACCAAGGTACTATTGTACTTCCATCATTGCAGGATGGAGGGAAGAAGGTGGGAGCTGAAATATACCTCAATGGATGGTTGGATGATGGCCAAAGGATTGGAAGACTCAAAGAAACTTTGCTGAGGTTTGACACCAAACTGCAGCATCGAAACTGTAGCGAGAACGTCTGAGCTGCATGCAGACTTTTAAAGTCTGGATGCAGGACACAACTTGAGGAGTGGGGAGAGGGCAACGTGGATATTTAACGTGGATCTTCATAAGTGTGTGGCTGGTCCTGATAACATGAGGTTTTGTAAAATGTGTGCAGCTTTTATTAATTTTAAAAATGGAATTAACATTCATTCTTGCTTCTACAGTCAAAATCATTCCAGTAACTGCTATTCTTTGCTTGCAGGTTGTATACAAAAACAACGATGTAAGGCTGGAACTGTCTCGACTTGCCAAACAAGGAGATCCTAAGATGAAGATCCACGGTGTGGTAGCATTTAAATGTGAAAATGTGGCAACCTTGGATCCAATCACTTTTGAAACACCAGAATCTTTTATCTCTTTGCCAAAGTGGAACGCCAAGAAAACGGGCTCGATATCGTTTGATTTCCGCACCACCGAGCCGAATGGGCTGATACTTTTTAGCCACGGCAAACCGCGGCATCAGAAAGATGCTAAACACCCGCAAATGGTCAAAGTTGACTTCTTTGCCATTGAGATGCTTGATGGCCACCTCTACCTGCTGCTGGACATGGGTTCTGGTACGATTAAAACAAAAGCTTTGCAAAAGAAGGTGAATGACGGTGAATGGTACCACGTTGACTTTCAAAGAGACGGACGATCTGGTAAGTTTGGGTTTACCCTTCTGTGTATTGTAGACAAAATAGCAAGGGCGTCGTGTGTTGCAATTGCCATTGCCATATAGTGACACCCTTTGACGTCATTATGACAGGTGCAGGTGCTTCATCAAAAAACAGCACCCCTGAATCTCAGTCTCTCTCCCTCCTTGGTAATGTCTTACTGTACTCCCACATTTCCTTGTCCCTGCAGGCAGCACCTAGTGCAATGGAAGATGGCCAGGGAGACTTGGAACTTGTAGCACTAGTCATTGGCTGGAAGGAGGAAGACAAGAGATAGAACTCCTCTTTCCAGCGACAGCCATTTGTTTGCTGCAGAGCCTTTTTCTCTCACCCCGCTTGCAATTGATTTGGCTTTGGCAATTAATCCAAAAAGCTATTAGTTAGAAGAATATGTTAGTCTGTGTTACAATATTTCTCCTAACAACGACAGTGCGCTCCCAAGCCAAGTTTCTGCTAAGTGTAAAATGGAATGTGGTGATATATAACCATTGTGCTGCATAATAGGACTGCAATTTATGACATCACGGTGTTCTTGGAATTCATAGTGCGAAGGCCAAATTGCATGTGATGGACGGAGCCAAGGTTCTCCTCACTGGTAGAATGTTAAAGAAAAGGCTTTAATAAAGAGCGGCTGAAATAAAGGAGAGAGGATGAAATAAAGAGTGAATGACTGGCAGGCAGGAGAGGAGTCTTAACACTGCCCTTCTTGATCTTTTATTCCCACTTAAGATTGCCTCCCCAAATGGCTTTTCCACTCCTAGGAGAAAACACTTGGGCTCCTTGATTTACCCTTCTCTTCTTTTACTTTACTTTTTCCTGCCACTCTCCGTATCTTAGATGGTATGTCTGCAGCTAGAACCCGTGTTCTTCAATTTTTTATACAGTACCTGGAATTCTGGGGCAACAGCAGCACAGGCTTGTATATGACTAAATTTCTGCTTCCTTGCCTGACTGATCTCCTGGAGCAGACTGGGGTTTTTTGAGGCCTTGTTGTACTAGTGGGAACCTAGAATAAGGATTTTGACAGCCTCCCTCAGCATTTTGACCATACAGTGATACCTCGGGCTAAGTACTTAATTTGTTCCGGAGGTCTATTCTTAACCTGAAACTGTTCTTAACCTGAAGCACCACTTTAGCTAATGGGGCCTCCTGCTGCTGCTGTCCCACCGGAGCACGATTTCTGTTCTCATCCTGAAGCAAAGTTCTTAACCTGAAGCACTATTTCTGGGTTAACAGAGTCTGTAACCTAAAGCGTATGTAACCCGAGGTACCACTGTACTTATACCTGATAGATTACAGAGAACTCTAGGGTCTGCGTCTTCTGCCGGGTATGTACTGACCCTGGAGAAACTTCAGGTCATATGCTATAGGCTTGTCCTATCAGAATTCCACTCTGCAAATGCTTTGGAAGGCTTAGATTTAAAGCCCTATACGGCCTAGGACCCTTGTACCTACGGGACCGCCTCTCCTGGTATGCCCCACAGAGAAACTTACGGTCCTCAAATAAAAACATCTTGAAGGTCCCAGGCCACAGAGAAGTTAGGCTGGCCTCAACTAGAGCCAGGGCTTTTTCGGCTGTGGCTCCGATCTGGTGGAACACTCTGTCACAAGAGACCAGGGCCCTGCAGGACTGGACATCTTTCCGCAGGGCCTGCAAGACAGAGCTGTTCCACCAGGCCTTTGGCCAGGGCACAGCCTGACTCCCTCCCTCGGCAATCTTCACGGAGCTCTGGCCCAATGGTTGCCAGTGGCTTGAATTAATTAATTTTATAATGAATGATTTTAGAGTGTTGTTTATGCTGTACTTTTGTACTGTTTTATTGTTGTTAGCCGCCCTGAGCCCGGCTTCGGCTGGGGAGGGCGGGATATAAATAAAATTTATTATTATTATTATTATTATTATTATTATTATTATTGGATGACTAGCCAGGAATCTAGACAATAACTTTATTGTCTCCTTCCAACAAGAACAGAATGGCAACAGAAAACTCCTGACTCTCCATGCCCCCCCCCCCCCGCCCCTGGCATACAACTGAGTCCAGTGCCATCAAGTGGCTAAACTATATAATGACACAATTTAGGCTAAATCTACATAGCTATAAAAAAAAAAACTCTCTGAAAATGCTGTGCAGAAAACCGTTGTAAAGCTCACAGTTGAAAATATCACCCAGTTACGATTTCAGCTCTACAGCGCCATTCGGTGGCACAGTGTTATAACGCATTTATAACACTGCATTTTGACTAATGTAGCTGAATCCCTGGATAGTAGAATAGCAAACAAGCTTTGTTACCAATACGGCCATCATATGTTCATCTCTTCCCCTAATTTGGAAAAAACATATCATCTCTGTATGGGGATATATGTCAAAAACAGTAGCTGTTGCAAGCTGCTTTGAAAGCTAAACACTTTGCCCTCTAGCACTGGAAATCATCAACGCCACACATTTCAAAACCTTGACAGGGAACCTTCTGTGGCTTACAGTGAAATAGCATATAGCTTTTAATTACTGTGAGGCTAGCACCAATTTCAGCGGGATCTGACCAAAACTCTCAGAGCATGTTTGTTCATTTGTTTTGTATTTCCAGGCATCTCAATTGGCTCACCACACCTTCTCTTCATCCCTATTTTTTCTTCTACTTTTGCATTTCCTTCTCTCTGACTCTCTCTCTCTCTTACTGTGCTTCTCATTCCTCCCACCTGCTACTTCTTCTGAGTTTGGGTCATGGCAGGATGCGGAGTTAGGTTTTGGGAGGATGGGTGCTGCTGTTGTTCGTTTGCTTTCTGTTAATAAAGCATTGATAAACCCCGCACGAACTCCAAAACTACAAAGAGCATTATAGTGCCTTTAAAGACTGTTTTTTAAAAGGATGTTATGGCATGAGCTGTTGTGGGAGAGAGCCAATATTCTTTAAAGCACTCTGGCAATTTTAGATCTAAACCATAGTTTAGTGTTGCATGCATGAGCTTGCTTCTCCCTTTGTCATCTCCTGGCATGGCTCTTTTCAACCAAACCACAGGATTGTTTCACTCCACTCACCCTACCTAGAAACCGAGGTTAGGCTTAACAAGGTATGGGAGAAGAATTACAGTATGCAACACTAAACTTTGGTTTTGTGTTAGTTCTGCTTTTGTTGAAAACGACTAAGGGAAGTTTGGGCCATCACACCCTAGTTTTAGTAACGTCCAAAATTTTATTTAGTCTTTTACAGCAAAATGAACAAACACAGCTACTTTTCTGAAATTTGTCAGACTTCAGTTAAGAGTATCCACGGAGAGCTGTTGCAGGCTCAATGTTTGCACCTAACTGCGCACTTTCCTGAACTCTTTTATGAATTACCAATCTGTTTCTTGCTGATCTACGTGCTGTGTCTCTTGCGACGTTTTACTCTTGCATATCTCTAGCTAGCCTGAAAATCCACTACGGAGTGGTGCCCATAGATAAGAAAAAGCTGTGACATGTCTAAATAAGATTTCTTAATTGCCTTAACTCTTGGTTGCTAGGTCAGCAAGCATGTTGAATTATTTTTTCCCCTCCCCATTTTGCAATCGTTTCCGTCTTTCTGACCATTCCAGTAATTTGTAACATTGTTCCACATTACAGGATGAAGGGACGGCTGTTCTCCTCTGCTTGAAATTTGATCCATTTTAGCCAAACACTTAAATCTTATTTACTTCAATACTAGAATAACTCAGAGAACAGCTGAATATTCTTCGGCAACCTTTAAATGTCACCTCAGGGCACACAAACTGCTGCAGAATTGCTCAGTCTGATACCACTCAGGCAATGTCAGAAGCTCCAAGTCTGTAACATGGTTTCTTACATCACCACTGTTGCTGCAGGTCCCCAGAAGGGCAACACCAGAGTTGTTCCAAACGTTCATGAAGTTTGCTATTTTTGATCTGAAAGCTGCCGCTTTTTGGAGGATGAAAGGTTCTTAAACAAAGCAAAAAAACTGCTCATCTGCTCATTTTTCCTTGCCTATTTACAGTTCCAGTGATCTGCTTGAGTGCCATTTCCCCCCCCTTTTGAAAACAAGTGTCCTCATTGCATGGTCCTCAGCTATAGAGTCCATAGTGAAAATAGAATCATAGAATTGTAAGGTAAAGGTAAAGGGACCCCTGACCATTAGGTCCAGTCGTGGCCGACTCTGGGGTTGCGGCGCTCATCTCACTTTATTGGCCGACGGAGCCGGCGTACAGCTTCCGGGTCATGTGGCCGGCATGACTAAGCCGCTTCTGGCAAACCAGAGCAGCACATGGAGACGCTGTTTACCTTCCTGCTGGAGCGGTACCTATTTATCTACTTGCACTTTGACGTGCTTTTGAACTGCTAGGTTGTCAGGAGCAGGGACCGAGCAACGGGAGCTCACCCCGTCGCGGGGATTCGAACCGCCAACCTTCTGATCAGCAAGTCCTAGGCTCTGTGGTTTAACCCACAGCGCCACCCGCATCCCACTAGGCAGTGCTATTTTTCTAGGAAAAGAAGCGCTGGAACTCACCATGAACGCTTCCCTTGTTCTCTTATAATGGCAATGGCACCCACCTGAGAGGGGCTGGAACTGAGTTCCAGTGAGTTCCAGGTGAAAAAAGCCCTGAATGTAAGGTTAGAAAAACAGTGGGTGAAGCATGGCCTGTGATGGGTTTGGCCTGGAGAGACTTCTGAGGCTCATGTAAAAAGGGCTGGAAGGCCACATTCAACCCCCAGCCTGAGGTTCCGTATCCCAGAATTGTAGAGTTGAAAGAGACCCCAAGGGTCATCAGTCTTGAAAGACCTACATTGGTACGTTTCCAAGCACAATTCAAAGTGTTGGTGCTGACCTTTAAAGCCCTAAACAGCCTCGGTCCAGTATATCTGCAGGAGCATTTCCACCCCCATCGTTCTGCCTGGACACTGAGGTCCAGCACTGAAGGCCTTCTAGTGGTTCCCTCACTGCAAGCCAAGTTACAGGGAACCAGGCAGAGGGCCTTCTCGATAGTGGCGCCCGCCCTGTGAAACGCCCTCCCATCAGATGTCAAAGAGAACAACTACCAGACTTGTAAAAATCATTTGAAGGCAGCCCTGAAGGCAGCTTTTAATGTTTGATTTTAATATTTTGTTGGAGGCCGCCCAGAGTGGCTGGGGAGGCCCAGCCAGATGGGCAGGGTATAAATAATAAATTATTATTATATTATTATTATTATTATCTAGTCCAGCCCCCTGTAATGAAGGAAACGCAGCTACAGAATCCCAGAGAGATGACCATGGAGATTAAAACCTCCAAAGATGGAGCGCCCACCACCTTTCAAGGTGGTCCATTCCACTGTCTCTGCTCTTCATGTCAGAAAGTTCTTCCTGATGTTTAGTTGGAATCTCATGTCTTGTAACGTGAATCCATCGGATCAGAACCTACCCTCGGGAGAAGCAGAAAACAAGCTTTCTCTGTCTTCCAGATATCTAGATGGCTATTGTATCACCTCTCAGTCTTCTCTTCTTCAGGCTAAACATGCCCAGCTCCTTCAACCTCTCCTCATAAGGCTTGGTTTCCAGACCCCTGAGCTTCTCGGTTGCCCTCTTCTCCACACACTTGCTTCTTAAGCTGAGGTGCCCAGACTCTCTGGCCTAAAAATTATGATGGCACTGGCAAATAAATAGACAAACCCAAATACTGCTAAGATCTAACACTGCATACCAGACAGGAGCTGTGCATGTTTAGGTAAAGGTAAAGGGACCCCTGACCATTAGTTCTAGTCGTGGCCGACTCTGGGGTTGCGGCGCTCATCTCGCTTTATTGGCCGAGGGAGCCAGCGTACAGCTTCTGGGTCATGTGGCCAGCATGACTAAGCCGCTTCTGGCAGGCCAGAGCAGTGCTCGGAAACACCGTTTACCTTCCCACCGGAGCGGTACCTATTTATATACTTGCACTTTGATGTGCTTTCGAACTGCTAGGTTGGCAGGAGCAGGGACCGAGCAACAGGAGCTCACCCCATTGAGGGGATTCGAACCGCCGACCTTCTGACCGGCAAGTCCTAGGCTCTGTGGTTTAACCCACAGCGCCACCCGTGTCCCTATTGTGCATATTTATCGTAGAGCAATTGCATACAGATGTTTTGTATTTGTTTACTGCTAGGTAGTTCATCTGGGCCAAATTCAAACCACTAGGAAGAATCCTTCATTTGCAGATCTGCAGTTTAGAGAATTTTGCAGCAGTGCTTAATAAAGAGAATAAGTACAGAGAATAAGGGGGAGGGGTGTGGCAGCTGAGCTGTCTCTCCTATCTCTGCTTTTGAAACAGATCATAACCGACGAGAGGAGCTTCAGAAGTACATTTAGGCAGGGATGTCTTGGCTGTAGTAAGGAGACTTTTGAAAACTAAATTGCTGAGATAATGAACATGATTCAAGATGCTCATTAACACATACCTATGGGAAATGTTCTGCTGTTGCAGTACTACCAACCTTGCAGTGAAAGCAGAGGGTGGAGGCAAAGGCAGGCGGCTGGAATCCCAGCAAAAGCAAACTGCAAAGGCATTTTGCTCTCTGCGGGTTTTGCAACACGCCACGTCTGCATTAATAACGGTGTTGTGGGGCCGGCATGTCATTTGAATGTTTAGTTAATCTCGTGGGCATATTTGAGAAACAACCATGCAAGGGTTTTCCCCCTAAACCAGCTACCGTTCACCCCCTTTTGGAAAACCACCGTTACACATCGGAACAGGAGGGGAAAGTTATTATTCTTGTCAAACTCCAGTTGTGCATGGCAGTGTAAACCAGATTGTATCAGCGGTTTCTCGCGGCTAAGCCAGCATTTAAGGGCTAAGGAGTCATTGAGATTTTGAATTAAAGTCAGAGTTCCAGTATAAGCGCTGGAAATTACAGGGGTAGCAAAAGGCACATGCCTGTCTCCGGAGTATATAATTAGAGGTTTAGAGTAATCACACTCTCACTCGGAGCAGCACTTTACAGATATCCATTTCAAGCCACTGGGGTGGAGCGTGTCCCCCTCCCCACCGTCCCTTATGCCATCTAGGAGTTGCTGTAGTTATTCACTGCAGTTTTAAGTAACGAAAGACGTTTAATGGATTGTCCTTGCTTTCTAGGGATAAACAACCCTTTGAGTGGTTTCCAGGCTAGCTACACGCCTCTTATTCCAGTCCTAGGGAGGGAATGCAATGTCATGCGATTATGCTTATTCTGTCAGCAAAAACATTTCTGCTTGCCTGGTGGGGATGGTATCCCCTCTTCTCCCCTGTGTTCTGTTCTAGGGGTTCACCTGACCCCCACCAAGAGCTGATGGGGGGCACAAAAGAGGAAAAGTGGAAGCTCCACTGCGTTAGCAGTGCTGGCTCCCTCTAGCGCAACTGTTTGGTCGAATCTGTCCCATAGAATCCAAAGACACCTCTGGAGAGGTGTTTTGTGCAAGGGATGTAGCCAGCATGGCTGAGCTACCAGAGGGAGAGAGAAGTGACTGGGCTTCCACTACAGTTCCCCCAGTTCAAGGCCCCTGCTGTCATACAAGTGTTTGGCTTGAGGAAGCATTGCTCAGTGATTTAGACCAGGGATAGGGGAACCCTTTTCACCCTGAAGACCACATTCCCTTCTAAGCAAGCTTCTGGAAGCCACACATCAGTGGCATAGTCTCCAACTTCCCTGAAAATGGAGGGACTGTCACGAAAACCCTGAAACCATCACGGCTTCTTTCTGTGTCGTGCAGAGTCACAAATTCTGAAGTGGCCGTTCAGCAGTGTTTCAGCGAGTTACTGGAAGTTCAGATCCACACATTCCTCTAACACATATAATAAGAATAATTTATTATTTATACTCCACCCATCTGGCTGGGCTTCCCCAGCCACTCTGGGCGGCTTCCAACAAAATATTAAAATACAGTAATGCATCAAACATTAAAAGCCTCCCTAAAGAGGACTGCCTTCAGATGTCTACTAAGAGTCTGGTAGTTGTTTTTCGCTTTGACATCTGGTGGGAGGATGTTCCATAGGGTGGGTGCCACTCCCGAGAAGACCCTCTGCCTGGTTCCCTGTAACTTGGCTTCTCTCAGTGAGGGAACCGACAGAAGGCCCTTGGCACTGGACCTCAGTGTCCAGGTAGAACATGCCTCCCACTCCCTCCGCCTTGCCCACTCAATATGGTCCCACTTCCTGTTTTTATAAAAACAAGATCTGGGTCCTAAGAAAGTCCCTAAGAAAATGGTTCACCATTTTGCTGCTCCTCAGTCAGTCTGTTGCTGCATCTGAGTCCCTGTCCTGGCCTTGGAAGAGGAGTAGGCACCAGGAGGGAGGGGCACTGGAAGCTGAAGGATGGCCGAAGCCCCAGGACCACAAGGCACTGAGGTGGTGACCCTGTGTCTGTGCTGGAGGCAGAGCTGGGTGCCTGCCAGAGCCATCTGGAAGGGGAGAAGAAGCTGCACCTCAAAGCCCAGGCCAGAGTCCCTATTTTCATTGGAGGCATGTTGAAGGATATGCAGTGGTGGGCAAGGCCACAGATTAAAGTAGGCGGAGTGAGCCATGTGAATGTTACCTTCATGCAGTTAAGCTACTTTTGACACACATTTCTCTCTAACCTCCATCCAGGCAATCAAGGACTATTACTAGAGTTGAAGGACACATTACAGGCAGGCAAAAAACTCTCAAGGAAGGTGCCCATGAAGGAAGGCAGGGCCCATGAAGGGCGCATGGCGATAGGGTGTGTGACTGGGGGGAGTCCTGGAGGGCCACATTACACATACACACAAACACCAGGATAAGGGGACGACAAAGGATGAGATGGTTGGACAATGTTCTCGAAGCTACCAGCATGAGTTTGACCAAACTGCGGGAGGCAGTGGAAGGCAGGAGTGGCTGGCGTGCTCTGGTCTATGGAGTCACGAAGAGTCAGACACGACTAAATGACTAAACAACAACAACAAACAGGGCTGCCTTCAGATGTCTTCTAAAAGTCTGCTAGTTGTTGTTCTCTTTTTCATCTGGTGGGAGGGCGTTCCACAGCGCGGGTGCCACTACCGAGAAGGCCCTCTGCCTGGTTCCCTGGAACTTGGCTTCTCGCAGCAAGGGAACCGCCAGAAGGCCCTTGGCACTGGACCTCAGTGTCCGGGCAGAACAATGGGGGTGGAGACGTTCCTTCAGGTATACTGGGCCAAGGCCGTTTAGGGCTTTAAAGGTCAGCACCAACATTTTGAATTGTGCTCGGAAAAATACTGGGAGCCCGTGTAGGTCTTTCATTACCAGTGTTATGTGGTCTCGGCGGCCGCCCTCAGTCACCAGTCTAGTTGCCGCATTCTGGATTAGTTGTAGTTTCCGGGTCACCTTCAAAGGTAGCCCCACATAGAGTGCATTGCAGTAGTCCAAGTGGGAGATAACCAGAGCATGCACCACTCTAGTGAGACAATCAGTGGGCAGATAGGGTCTCAGCCTGAGTACCAGCCTACTTGTGCCGTAGAATCCCCTACAACCCACCTAGAATCCTGAATCGCCCACTAGTGGGCAGTAGGGACCGGGTTGACAAGCCCTGGTTTAGACCATGCAGGTTTGCTAGATCTGTGCTGAGAGGATTATGGGTTTGAATCCCATGGACTCTTTCATAGAGGGGAAAGAGATCCTGTTCAGAAGGAAAGCCACTGCATAGCAGAATGTTTACTCTGTCAGGTCCAGTTCCTGGGCATCTTGAGGTTTTAAAAGATGGCAGCAAGGCTAAGGTAGAAACTAGTCTTACCACCTCCTCCCTGAAAACTGTAGTATATTTTTGTGTTCTGCAGTCCACAGCATGCACAATATGTTGTGGGAAAGGCTGCTTTGTTTTCATTTTATCTTTCTGCGCTTTCTTAGCAACATATAAAAAAGCGGATGTTACATGAGTGCAAAATGTACAACATTCCCTGGGGAGTGTGTGAAAAAGCTGCATATAAGAACATACAAAGAACATATATAGTTCAGGCCATATGGACAGTGTGTGGATCAACGGTAAATTAGATCAGAGGCTCCACCTGGCACTGCATGTTTCATAACATCAAAGGTTAAACATCCCTGTTCAAACACTGGAAGAAAATATTTAATTGGATGTACCTGTGAAGGAAAACCATGCTTCTGAAAACCAAGGATATCTAAGACCTTCTGCCTGCCCTTTACATTTCCCTCTCCTTTGTAAATAATGCTGATCTGTCATAGTCTGCTGGCAAGAAGCTGAGTCGCCAATTCAGAGTTAATTAAAATGTGAAACCTGGGACTCTAGAATTATATGATTTAATGTTTTGCAGTGGCAGCTTGGCAGTTTGCAGGACCTTAGAACTGAGCTTTGTGGCACTTTGGCTTAGCAGAATGCTAGGAACATAAGAAGACCCTGCTGGATCAGGCCAGTGGTCCGTCTGGTTCTGCATTCTGTTCTCACAGTGGCCAGCCAGATGGCTGTGGCAAACACAAGAGCAGGACCTGAGCACAAAAGCACTCTTTCTACTTGAGAATCCTAGCAACTGGCCCTCCAGCAGTGGGTGTCGAACCTAACCACTGTTGCTAGTAGCAGCTGATAGCCCTGTTTTTCGTAATTTGTGATCTAATCTTAGGTCTTGTGAGGTCTTGCAAACATACTTGGTTCTAGTACAGGCAGGAAGCTATGCTTTTAGGAAGCATGTTTTAACTGGCAACAACATTGTTTAAACTGTGCACATGATAAGCAAAGTGTGGATGGGAGGTGGCTGGTTTAAAATTTTGATGTCTTTTTATTTCAATCTGTTGTCATGTGTGCCTAGTCTGTAGGATGAGCAGGCAGGGTTATAAATTTTAAATGAAAGGAGCCAAAAGGCAATCGAAAGCAAAGACTGTCCGTCCACCAGTGCCCTATAGCTCAACCATGCAATATTGATCATAGTGTACCCCCAAGCACAGAACAGATGCATTATGGAAATGTGCTTACACAGAGCAGATGAATACCCAGTCTTGCGTGTATGTTAGTGTTTATTTAATATTTACACTGTTTTCAAGCTGTGCTTTACATGTGGCGATCAGCCATTCCTTTTCTTGCTGCTCTGTTGGCCTGGCCTGGCCTGGCCTGCTCTCAAAAAGGATCCCACGATGGGGCCAAGGGGCAGGATGGGGATAGGGAGCAAGGCAGGCTAGTGGTTGCAGCACCATGGACAGCTACAAGCAAGCAACTAAGGGTAAACTGAACGCTTTATGCATCTGACACCATGTCGCACCTCCCAGGGTCAGGCTATTCTCACATCCCCTTTTGAGAAACTGGCCATTGGATTTCCCATTTCTGAGAGTTCTTCGAGGTGTGTTACCTGCAAAATTGCCAGGTTGGCATGAGGGTGCGGACATTAGCAACAGGTAGGATGGCGGGGAGCACAGTGTTGTGCGGTGTGTAGTGGCAGAAGCATCAGAGTGGCTGTGCTGCCATGTACCACAATGCTCCAAGCTCTCCACACCTCGACCTCTTCCTCTCAGGCAATGACCTGAAGTGTTGAGATGCTAAGGGGGCAATGGAGCCCTACGCACACTGTGTCACCAGCTGCCACTAGATGCAGGTGCCTGGTGTAGAAGGACCTGACTCATCAAGAGGTATGGGCTCCACAGGTCCTGCCTTGGGTGTCCCAGGCTTAAAGAGACCCTGGTGGACTGGGCTTGGACTGCCACTGGGTAGTCCTCTGATGCTTTGGGACTTAAATCTGCTATAATGGACTTGTTATGGGCAGACCCACCACCCAAGATGCAAATGGTGGCTAATGGATTCAGAGTCTTCTCTACAGTGACACAGTCTTTGGAAGAACCTCTTTTAGAGAGGTCAAGTTAATCCTTTCCCTCTCTGTGCCCAGGAGGAGGGTGAAAACCTACCTCCATTGGCTCCCTTGAAATGTATATTGGTTACCCTTGCTTTATTTATGCAGCTGTGCCCTTCTGTGCCACTGCTGTTTTCGCAGGCTGTAGGGGTGTGCAAGAAACACTTTTTTATTTTATTTTTTCTGGTTTTTTTTAAAAGTTCCATTTGTTTCATTTCCATTTCTTGAAATTGCATTCACACATTCAGTCATTAGTTGATTGATATTCCCCGATCCATTGATTGAAGCAGGAGACTCAGTCATTCCTCTGTGTGTTATTTTTCCCAAAGAAATGGCATGGAGTGTAAAGGCATGGTATCACCACTCTGGATCATCAGATATGTCCAATTTGAGGTCTAGATTTATAAGCAAACAAACATGAATGGGAAAAAATTATACAATGCATTCATCTTTAATGCAAATTCCCTTTAATTGATTGCTGTAACAATGAATGAAGTAGTCTCCATTTTTTTCCATATGTGTGTGCTTTAGAAAAGTGTGCACTGTTATTAAACCTTTTTTATTTCCTTGTAATCATTATTCCTTCTGTGATTAACTACAAGTGGGATATAAATACAAATAATGAAGGGATAGAAGAAGGTTGTTAGTGACAGTTGTGCATTTTTTTCTCCATTGTTAACAAACAAAACAAAACTGAACACCTTGTGTTTTATTCCTAAACAGGTACCATTTCCGTCAACACTATGCGCACGCCATATACTGCACCTGGAGAGAGTGAGATCTTGGACCTAGACGACGACTTGTACCTTGGAGGCTTGCCGGAAAACAAAGCAGGCCTTGTCTTTCCAACAGAGGTCTGGACAGCGCTTCTCAATTATGGTTATGTGGGCTGCATTCGGGACCTGTTTATCGATGGCCAAAGCAAAGACATCCGCCAAATGGCAGAAATCCAGAGCACCTCTGGGGTGAAACCCTCGTGTTCGAGAGAAACAGCAAAGCCGTGCTTGAGTAATCCCTGCAGGAACAGTGGAGCTTGCAGGGACGGCTGGAATAGATACGTCTGCGATTGTTCCGGAACAGGCTATCTGGGCAGATCGTGTGAGAGAGGTAGGCCCATTCATTTACCCATTTGGTTAGAACACGGATTCCCTTTTCATTCACAGACGACTTCAAAACTGTTGAGGGTCTTGATACTGATTGGCAGGTGAGAAACTAGCAGTGTGATGTAGCAGCAGCTACCACTACTGTGTTGTGTTGTGAAGGCTAATGTAGAATTGAGGTTAAGGGAATGGGTGGGAAGGCCCTGGTTTACATCTCAGAGAACCAACATGCATACCAGGGGTTGACAACCTTCTCCGGCCCAGTGGGCACGTTTGGAATGTTGAGGATGCCATGGGTGCCAGTCACACAATGGCTGCTCTGGGGAAATGGCGTAATGACTGCCACAGCTCAAAATACAGAAAAGGACAGCTGCACAATGGTTTGGTCACTTCTTTCACCTGATCAGAGACGTAGCAAGGTCAGGTGGTACCCGGTGCAATTTTTTATTTTTTATTGTCACACCCTCCCCACTCACATCGGCAGCTCAGGGTAGGCTTGGAAGAGACACCTCACAGGATTCTTGGGGTGTGTGCACTTTAAATGGGTTTGCAGCCTGAAGTGACAGACGTGAGGCAGGTGAGCTGCGCACAGGTGAGCTGCAAGCAAGCTGCCAGCCAGCTCTGTGGAGGCTCCTTTTATTGACACAAATATGCAAACTCTGGCAGATACATTTTGGGTTGTGACCTTTACACATCTTCCAGTCCCGAGATTGTGGGGTAGTACAAAGTTATTTTGGCACCTGTTTCCACTGCGTCATTTTCCCTTTGCACAGTGTATGACGAAGGAGACTAAAGGTCTCAGAGACAAAGGTTACAGACAGGGCACCACAGACTACTGAGACCGCAAAAGGTTATACAGAGGGCACGGTGTTCAGACAGCTGTGGCTTTGTCTGTGAGGGGGAGTGTGCCCCGCACCCCAAGGTCACGTGTGCAGCCGGACTGAGGCTGCCTGCGGGTGGGGAGTGTCCTCCCTCCGGACCCAGCAATCATCCCTACAGCAGCCAAAGAAAGGCAGAGAAGCAGCATCACCCTAAACACACACCCCTTGCTGGGTTGCATGTGGTCTCTTTGGAGACCCTGCCCAGTGCCAGAAGGAACTCCCTGTCTCCGGCACAATGGAGTCTCTGGGAATACGAAGGCCGCGGCCCCCGCTCTCCCATTTCGCTGCCCACCTGCTCAAGTCCCTCCTCGCTGCCTTACTCCATGCTGGCACCCTCTGTTCTCACGGCAAAACAAAACAAACTCCTCCTCTTCCTTCGTCTACCTTTCTCAACCACATCTAAAGTACTGATCCAGCCCAGATCCACTCACTGTGTTCTGGAGAGCGTGCACCTCTGTATGCAAAATAAGTTCGGGAATCGAGGGCTTTTTTGCCCTCTCCCGGGGATCTGTTGTCTCTCTTTGCTGTGGCTCTGTCCCTATAGGAAGCTCAACCTTGCCAGGCTGAGCAGAAAGGATTCCAGAGGGCAAACTCCTTCCCTCTCTCAAGTTAGGAGTTGGGGACCATCTGGTCATCCAACAGCCAAGAAGCATGATTTGTGGCAGCCCCAAAGACTTCTGCCCCAAACAACCCACCACCTTCTCAACCAACCAGTGCAACCTTTGTCTAAGGGTGGAGTTAACTACATGGGTGCCCAGAGTGGCAGCCATGCCATGCACCCAGGGCAGCAGGATGAGCCCCACATGGTGTGCCACCCCCACCGCCTCCCCTTCCTATGCCCCTGCACCTGATGCGTGAGTAAAAGGCACTTACATCAACCTTGACCATGCTGGCTGGCAATCACCCACAGAAAGAAGCTCTTCTGTGCTCAGAACAGATAGGAGGGTGAGTGCCCAATCCTGGCATCTTGTGAAATGTAGGCATATTTACAGGGATGTGTTTGGTGTATGAGCGGCTGAGCTGGTGCAAATAGGAGCTGAGCAGGAAGAAGAAATAGCCTCTCACATACTGTGGATTTTTTTGAGGGAATCTTTGCTTAGACCTTTCATGGGCACCATAGGAGCAGGCAGAGTGGAACCCACAGTTCTTATTCTTCTTCTTTGGTGATCACTTGTAGCCAAGTAAGATTGTCTTCCATGAACATGGTCTTAGCAGTGAGTCCGTCAGTGACTGTGGAGGCCAATTCTGGATCCACACCTCCTTCCACAGTGGGGACATTGGTTTCCAGGCAAGAGCTGATCACCGTGAGGGTTTGCCAAGTGTGCCTTCTTCTTAGCACGTTTCTCTCTTTCGTCCTGAGTTTGAGCATCTTCAAAGTCCATGAGGCCTTTGGTAAAGGCTTTTCTCCAACCGGAGCACTCACAGGCCAGTGTTTCCCAGTTGTCGGTGTTTAGACTACACTTTTTAAGATTTGCCTTGAGAGAGTCTTTAAACCTCTTTTGCTGACCACCAGCATTATGCTTTCCATTTTTAAGTTTGGAATAGGGTAGTTGTTTTGGAAGATGATAATCAGGCATCCGAACAACTTGACCAGTCCAACAAAGTTGATGTTGGAACCCACAAGTACCATGTTGGTGACCTCTGGCATAATGACCAAGAAACTGAGGAATGAATCAGAACATTCACTATTTCACTATTTTCTGACCCTTTCCCCACATCCTACAATATCCTTTTTGAGGTGAGGTGAGGTGACCAAAACTATACACAGCAATCCAAATATGGTCACACCACACATGTGTGGTATGATTGCAATATCAGCAGTTTTAATTTTAGTCCCTTAACAAAAACTTTGTCAAAACAACAACAAACCACCTTCCTTATAAGCTTAGCACTAGTTAAGACCGAGCCTTCCATTTGTGCTGCTGTAAATGAAACGTTATTCTGCAAAGGGAGTCCTTGTTTCTTATTTTAGAAGATGCAAGCCTTTGGCAGAAATCAAGTTATTTTTGATGCCTCCAGATTGTTCCTATTACTGGTGGACTGCGGCTGGCAGAGGGGGCCTAACTAGACTGTCAGATGAATTACAAAACTCTTCAGTTAAATATGCATGGTGTACCACCCTGTGGCAAAATCCTGCTATTACATATGGGACATTTTTCTCCTCACTGCTCCCCTCCCCATCTGCTTAAAGAGTGCAGCATTATGGAAGAGAAAGAGAAGGAGGGAGAGATAGAAACCTACAGTTTTTGAAATCAAAAAGAACTAGGGAATATTTTTACATATCCCAGCCACTGGAGAAAGGAACAAGCATATGCAAATCTACTAAAAAAACCCCACAAACCCCACCACCATTCTTTGCAAGTTTAATAGCATGCTTCAGCAAAAGGATTTTCAGTAAGTATCTTTGACAGGGCATGGAATTTCTTTCTGTTTACGTTGTTTGTCATCCCTCGCAACGTATGGTTTGGGCATTTCCCCCAATATAATTTTCTGGAACACGGACCCTCCTCTGCTGGGACCGATACTAATATGATGTACTCACAGTGTTATCTGGCTGCTTGTCCTACAGAAATCAGTTGTGTGTTTATTCAGCTTCTGGAGTATTATACGCTACCCAAGGGTTTTCCCTATCTTGGGGGGTGGGGAGGGAAAGGAACAGCTTTCAAAGCATTGCTTCGCCTCCTTCCAGTAATAGTTGAATCCCAAACGGTCATGCATTAATATGATTACAGCGTTTGGGATTCCGTAAGCTACAGCAAAGGCAGTGCTTGCCACACAGAACTATTATTGCTCCTACCCATGTGCGGTTGCTGATAAACCGTTCTCGTTTGCCAGTAGACACGACAATTAAAATATTGTTCGTGCCATTCAAAAAGGAAGCAATTTTTTTTGGGGGGGGGGGTGTGGAAAGAAAACATGTTCACATCAGCAAGCAAAGCCACTTCAGGCAGCATGTGGGGTGTGGGGGACTATGCTGGTTTGAATCACAAATTTTAGAACAATGTAGCTAAGAACTAGGGTCTGAAATAGTTTGTCAGGTAGTGCAGGATGGAGATAGCACAACGCGGAGCACTCAAGATGCTGTTGGACTCCAGTTCCCATTGTACCTGACTGTTGGCCATAACAGCTGCTGAGAGCTGTAGCTCAAGAGCATTTTATAGATTCGTGGAATTGTAGGGTTGGAAGGGACCACAAGAGTCATCTAGTCCAACCCCCTGCAATGCAGGAATCTTTTGCCCAACATAGGGCTTCAACCCACAACCCAGAGATTCGGAGCCTCATGCTCTTCGAACTGAGTGTCACCCATTTGGAAGGCGACACCTTGGCAACTCCTGATTTAGGGAGAACTACAGTAGATGGTGATTGGGACGCAGGTGGCGCTGTGGGTTAAACCACAGAGCCTAGGGCTTGCAGATCAGAAGGTCAATGGTTTGAATCCCTGCGATGGGGTGAGTTCCTGTTGCTCGGTCCCTGCTCCTGCCAACCTAGCAGTTCGAAAGCACATCAAAGTGCAAGTAGATAAATAGGTACCACTCTGGCGGGAAGGTTAACGGCGTTTCCGTGTGCTGCTCTGGTTTGCCGGAAGTGGCTTAGTCATGCTGGCCACATGACCTGGAAGTTGTACACCGGCTCCCAAGGCCAATAAAGCGAGATGAGCGCCGCAACCCCAGAGTTGTCTGCGACTGGACCTAATGGTCAGGGGTTCCTTTACCTTTACCTTTACAGTAGATGGTAGCCAGTGTTCATATTTGAAATACAGCCAGTTGCGTGCATTAGAACCTATTCCAGCATTCTGTTCCCAACACTGGCCTGATGTTCCAAGAAGGGATGAAGGCAATAGTAGTGCCAAATCCACCAATCGAAGCGGCCAAGTGGGAACATTTGGGGTAAGATGACCTTGTAGGTAGACTGGTCTCAAGTTGTGAAGGGCTTTATTAATTAAAGTTATTCATTTTTTAAAAAGAATAAAATAAAGATAAACTCAAAGCAACTTAAAAAAAAATAAATGCCAAGTTACAGGGAACCAGGCAGAGGGCGGTAGTGGCACCCGCCCTGTGGAACGCCCTCCCACCAGATGTCAAAGAGAACAACAACTACCAGAGTTTTAGAAGACATCTGAAGGCAACCCTGTTTAGGGAAGATTTTAATGTTTAATATTTTGTTGGAAGCCACCCAGAGTGGCTGGGGAAGCCCAGCCAGATGGGCGGGGTATAAATTATTATTATTATTATTATTATTATTATTATTATTATTATTATATAAAAGCAACATGAAACTAAAACAAAACAGAAAACATCCATCTACAAATAAAAGGAGGTCTGACACATCCTACCCACTAAAGGAGGCTGCAGGATCTGAAACACCACAAGTAAAAGGCCAAAAACCTGAAAATGATTAAAAAAAAATAAAAATTGGCGTGGCACCTAAAAGTAGGCATTGATGGCACCTGGTGTGCTACCCCGGGGAAAGCATTCCGTAAGTGAGGAGCCACCACTGAAAAGGCCTGTTCTGTGCACCTCCCTTGGAGAGAGCACACAGAGAAGGTCGTCAGATGATGAACACTGGGTTTGGGTGAGTTAATGTGGGGAGAGACGACATGTGAGGCATTGAGGTCCTGAGCCGCAAATGCAACCTTTAAACACCGAGGCCCAATTTAGTCACCGTAACTTTGCCACCTGTGCTTTCATTTCAGCTGAAATGAAATACAGAAAATGAAATGTGTGTTCATCCTCACACTCATTTGCTCATGACCCGAAGTGGTGCCACAGGGATCTCCCCCTTTTCAAAGATTCAACTCTCGGATTGCTCTCCCCTTCGTTTTTAATGGAAATGGGGAGGGAGCTAGCATTCCTTCATCGTACAAGAATACAAGGAGCGTGAAATAGCAAAGGGTTGGGGTGGGGGGTTTATGTCTCATAGTTCTGTATCTTTGGGGTCACTCATGCCCCCAAATTCATTGGTGGGTTGAATAGCAGCAGTGTCACCCTATGCACAACTATTCAGAAATTAGTCCCATTGAGATCAGTGGAGCTTTCTTCCAGGAAAACATGAACAGGATTGCAGGCTTAATAGTCTTTGAACCTGAAGTGTTCCATGCTTATTTTGCCACTGTAAGCCGGAGCTGATTATGCCAAAAGTAAAAAACATCAGGATAATCTCTGGATGGGTTTAATTTGTTTGTGGGAGCTGTAGCAGATGGCAGGACAGATGTCATGGCAATATAATTTGGCTTTTCTCTTTGATTTTTATTGGGGCTTGTGGTACGTGATTGCCTTTCGGCAGTGCCTTTTGCAGGTGTATGTTTTCAGCCAGGCAACAACAACAACACCAAAAAAGATAAATGTGCAAGATGACATTTATCAACAGAAATTATATTGGGGGGGGGGTGGCGGAGATGCTAGGATGCATGATTTTTCAGGGTTGCATATCTTGCATTTACTGTCAGTAAGCAGAGATGCTCAGGGGTGGGGGTTATTGGGGTTTTTTTTTGTTTTGATTATGTATTTTGTGGTTTTATATTCTGATTTTATCCTGTAAACCGCCCTGAGACCTGTGGGCATAGAGCAGTATATAATAATAGTAGTAGTAGTAGTAGTAGTAGTAGTAGTAGTAATAATAATAATAATAGTAATAATAAATACTATTCCAGCTAAGAATATAAAGTCCAAAAGTTTTAAGCTGGACCACTTAGTTATATTTCAGCAAGTTAAAAAAAATAATAATTGATTAAAGGTATTGCATATTAACACTCGCCATCTGTAACGGAGCGCGTTACTTCCGGGTTTCGCTGCTCACGCAAAATGACATCACGTGCATGCGCGGCAGCTGCAAAACGTGACCCGCGCACGCACAGACACACCGTCGCACCTTGCGTTCCATTCGGGATGTGAACGGGGCTCCGGAATGGCTCCCGTTCGCATCCCAAGGTACCACTGTACTGGCACTTTTTTTTCTTTTCCAAATGTTAAAAGTGTGGCACTTTCTGTAACAGCTTCATGGGGAGTACCAGCACTTCCCCCCCTGCAAAAAAGCACTGATTAAGTCAACGTACACAAACTCTTCTGGGTAATCTTAAAGTGTTAAACTGGGTAGTAGAAAGTGCATTATATTGTTAGTAAGCAAAAACGATCATTCATTGTTGTGACAGACTGTGATTATGTTTTGCTTCCCATTTCCCATTGGACAATAGCCTTATTATTATTAAAACATGCCTTCATCAATTAAAGCTGATCCCAAAGCTTTAGGAGGCAACCCCCACTGCACAGAATTAGATCTCAGTAGGGGCCTGCAAAAGCTGGTTACCGGCCAAGCTCAATGAAATCCAGCACCCATAGGAAGCTGCCTTATCCTGAGTTAGCTCATTGTTCCATCTAGCTTAGTTTTGCCCACACTGGCTGGCAGTGACTCTCAAGGATTTCAGGCAGGATTCTTGGCACAAGGGAGTGGACATGGAACGTTTTGCTTGCAAAACAGATGCTGTCCCGCTGAGCTATGTGTGTGTTCCAAGGGGCCTGACGTGACAAACTTTGCAAAGCAGCAAAACCAGGAGGGGTTTTTTTGTGTGTGAGAGAGAGAACCTGTTGGGTGGGTCATCCTGGCCAATTGGTGAGTTTAATGTCGTGCAGAAACACACTGGGGAATACAGTGGTACCTCAGGTTAAGTACTTAATTCATTCCAGACGCCCGTACTTAACTTGAAACTGTTCTTAACCTGAAGCACCACTTTAGCTAATGGGGCCTCCCGCTGCCGCCGTGCCACTGGAGCACGATTTTTGTTCTCATCTTGAAGCAAAGTTCTTAACCTGAAGCACTGTTTCTGGGTTAGCAGAGTCTGTAACCTGAAGCATATATAACCTGAAGTGTATGTAACCCGAGGTACCACTGTAACAGGATTGTGAGTATTGCTTGTTTATGTTCTTCCATGCACTAGCAATAAATTTCTCCATTTCACACCAACTGCTGGATAACCCCTTTATTATTTACTTTTCAGAGGGACCGCCCTAAAACTTATTGTCCTGGCTCTCTCCCCCTGCCCCCTCCTGCAGCCCCCTAGATACAGCTGCCCCCTGGTGTTGTTTAATAAAACCATTTCCTCTCTGTGCACGGTTGCATTCCCTATGCGGAAACGATAGTATAATTCCTTGCCCTAGAGGCCGTGATTCTGCTTAATGAGCAGCGTATTATGAAGCATTTCTTCCAGTTGTTTGGAGCATAAACTTCTGCTCCAGCGGTGTTTAGTGTATACCAGTCTCCCTGGAACAGTAACCAGACTGCAGGGGAGGGCAGAAAAAAAGGGAAAAAATGCTTCTAATGTACATTCCACAATAGGCAACTCAGTCAGAAGAGATGCTACCCCAAGAAATAAATGTTCAGAAGTCTAACGATTGCTGCACCAAAATGCCCAACATGTATTGTATCTGACGAAGTGTGCATGCACACGAAAGCTCACACCAATAACAAACTTAGTTGGTCTCTAAGGTGCTACTGGAATGATTTTTATTATTATTATGTATTGTGTTGCCCCAGTGTCAGTGGCCATACTGGGATACAATACTTGTCCTACAAGGGACGCGGGTGGCACTGTGGTCTAAACGGCTGAGCCTCTTGGGCTTGCCAATTGGAAGATAGGCGGTTTGAATCCCCACAACAGAGTGAGCTCCTGTTGCTCTGTCCTAGCTCCTGCCAACCTAGCAGTTCGAAAGCATGCCAGTGCAAGTAGATAAATAGGTACCACTGTAGTGGGGAAGGTAAACGGCGTGTCTGTGCACTCTGGTTTCCATCACGGTGTTTAGTCATGCTGGTTTAGTCATGCTAGTGTTTAGTCATGCTGGGTTTAGTCATGCTGGCCACCTGACCCAGAAAGCTGTCTGTAGACAAATGCCGGCTCCCTTGGCCTGAAAGTGAGATGAGCACCGCAACCCCATAGTTGCCTTTGACTGGACTTAACCGTCCAGGGGGCCTTTACCTTTACCTTACTTGTCCTACCCCAGGCTTCCTCAACCTTGGCCCTCTAGATGTTTTTGGCTTACAACTCCCATGATCCCTAGCTAGCAGAACCAGTGGTCAGGGATGATGGGAACTGTAGTCTCAAAACATTTGGAGGGCCAAGGTTGAGGAAGCCTGTCCTACACTATAAGATGCAATGTGGTACAGTGTTCGTCTTGGGCAGCAGGGGCTATTGTGTATATAGTTTTCACTCAGGTCCACTAAAGTTAATTTAGGCAGGAAACCCTGGGTTGCTGTTACGATGTTGACAGCCGGCTGCCTATAAAAGCAGGTCGGCTGAGCTGTTTGCAGTTCAGTTCAGTTCCAGCTTACTATAAAGAACCACTTGGAGAAATCTCTGTCATCTGCTATGTCCACTCACAACTTAATACCTCAGGTGCCAAAATGTCTTGGGCTGGCCCTGCTTGACTCAGCAGTTTTTTTGACGATGCGACTCATGGCATTCGCTTGCATTCAGAAACACAAGCTTGTAATTCCTTCACAATCTTCCCTCTTGTCCGTTTTCAGAGGCAACCGTTTTAAGCTACGACGGAAGCATGTTTATGAAAATACAACTCCCCGTGGTGATGCACACCGAGGCAGAAGACGTGTCCTTGCGGTTCAGGTCTCAGAGAGCTTACGGCATTCTAATGGCCACCACTTCGAGGGAATCTGCTGACACACTGCGTTTGGAACTGGATGCAGGACGAGTTAAGCTAACAGTCAACCTAGGTAACGTCCCTCCCCGACTCCTACCCTGAAGTTAACATCTCAAACATCCTTTTTTGGTGTGCGTCTTTGCCTGCAAACACCTATTCAACAGCCTGTTGGCCACTGAAAAATCAAATGAAACAGAAATATATATATGCAGTTCTCGTGCATATACATATATTTGCAACATGCATAAGTTCATTATTCGTTGAGTTTAATTTCATCTTTACACACTCCACCATAACCCACCATTATTAATTCTGAACCGCAGTCTGTTCTAAAAAGAGAAGACCACCAGCATTAGCAGGCAACCTATTTTTATTTTGTTAGCATCTTACCCAACAAGGTGGGTTTCTCAGCCCAGGATTTCCCATATTGCTGCGTTACACAAATAAATCCTAGTTCGAAACACATACCCCTGGGTGCTGGGGAAGCTCTGTTGGTGTGTCTGCATTGCGCATGCAAGCTTCATGCACAATGTTCCATGCAGCTTCTGTGGAGCACAGGATTTGGGTACCCAGAGAGTCAGTTCTTCTGATGGCAAGGGGGTGCAGGGTGGCAACTGGGGAAAGCTCCCTGGCCTCAGCCAGGCAGTCCACTCACACAAGCAGTTTAAAGTCAGAGCTGCCATTCTGTGCTCATGTACATTTGGGGCTCTAAGGCTGTGTACTCACTCCGGTTGACTCTGCATCCAATGTGTTCACACTGCTGGTTTGTGAAGCCGTGTACACATGGTGTTAGCCACAATTCACACCTGCCCTGTAGTTTCTTGAGAAGTACTGTGTTTTGATTAGCTTTCCCCCACCCCAGACCTGCTTTAATCCAATTTGAGAACAGAAGGAATGCAAAGATCTCCATGCCCTTTTTACAAGCCGGTTTGGAACTGGATAGTGAACTTTCAACAACAGCCTAGCTGTGTGTGCCAGGTTGATCAGGCCTGAGACGCACAGCCTGGGAATCTTTCTTTGCAAAAGGAAATGCCAGGATGAACAACCCACACAGAACAAGCTGGGGGGATCTACCTTTACAAGAGACTGTAGCCTTATACCAATATGACACAGTTTCAGATTTTTCTATTCCTTCTGAAAAGAAGCTCTAGAAAGGCAAAATTGAGTTATTAGCACACTAGCCCTAATATCTCTCTCTCTCTCTCTCTCTCACACACACACACACAGAGAGAGAGAGAGAGAGAGAGAGGAGACAGAGAGGAGTGGGGAAATACACACACAAAAAGAGGATCCTGGAGTCAACGCTCAATGAGCGACTTCCAAACACATCTGGCTGTAATGATGTGTACAGTGTCTTGCAAATGTGATTTGAAGCTCAGCTATAGGGAAAACAAACTTGCTGCGTTTTAAGCCGGTGATGTGTACACAGCCCAAAACCACACTGTTGTCCTGAACAGTTTGCTCATGCGAACTGAGTTTGCCCCAACATATAATCAGAACCTACTCTGTTAAAAACCAGCAAGCTATTTAGCCCTTTCCAGTATGTTGTACTTGATTTTGGCTTAATGTGTTAGAACACATAAAATATATGCAAGCAAGAAAAACCTGATTGCAGGCCACATTTTTGTTTGTTTCTGGTCTTCTCTATAGAGCAGCCTGGCACTACATACTTTCAAATCCATCTCCCTCCCTCCTTTGATTTGATTTTATTTTTTTTAGAACTCCCCCCGCTACAACTTCATAGTGATCTTGTGTGTGTGTGTCACAAATAACACGACCCTTCAATGCCCAAAGTCTGCGGCCCTCAGCAAACAGCCATGTGAACACAAACCACATAAGCTCTCCTGCAGAAATAATATCATGCTTTCCTAGTTGTTGTTTTTTTTATAGCATTTAGAAATAATTGATCGTTGCTTTATTCACCAAGGAACCAAATGCAAGTTTACCAGAACGACTTCCTTTTTTTCTTTGTGAGAGAGATTATTTTCAGGACTTTTTGTAGAGCGTTTAAAACAAAACAAAACAAAACCCTTCACTCCGGTGTGATTTTGCTTTTAAATTGCGAAAGCTAGCAAGGCAGAGTGATATATTCAAAATCCATTTTTTTGTATAGGAATGCGAGATAATTGAATTTTGATTATATTAATTCGATTCTGCAATAGGGAGGACACTCTTCTTTAGCTTCAGATAGAGCCCTCTAGTGACATTTTGGAGTTACTGCAAGCCGATGCATTATTTTAATAGTCATGATGGTTGTAGGATAGTGGCCAGGAGAGGGCTCTTTCAAGAAAGCTTTCTGTAGACAGAGGCATGTAGGTAATGTGCCTTGGCTGTTTGCCACCACTTTTCTGATGCGGTTGACGACACATGACAAACTCAGCTACATGGAAACAAAATCTAGGTTGTTATTTTTTAAGAAATAAAAGCAATAATATTGATGATCCTCAAAGACCATGTAGAGGAACAAATGAGTATGCTGCTAATTTGAGAAGGGTGTTTCAATTTGCCCGTACAAAGTGCACATTTCCCTTACACTATGAATAAAATAAAAGCATTGCCCCGCCTGTTATTCACCATGAAGGCGGAAATAAATTTGCTAACGCTCACAAGAGAGAGGATGTCAAAAAGCATCCTCTCAAAAGTCAAAAAGCAAATTATAATATTGCTTCGCTTTAATCTAATAAAATAAGAGCTTTCTAGAGGAGATGGTGAAGTCACTTTTCCTATGTTTACTGAACGACTTCAGTAAAAGCTAAAGGTATTTCTGAGGATTGAGAGACCATCTAAGGTGGTTGGAATATTGCAATTACAATTTTAAGCTTTTAAAGTTGCATCCTCCTTTGAGGTATTAACTGTGATCCAGAATGTGTGATTATTGGCTTGGCTTGTACTATTCCCCATTGTGACGGAGCACTTTTATTATTTTTTAAATTAAAATTGAGAAGATTAATCTGTTCTTTCATATATGGGGGAGAAAGTGGCAGCCAGCTTAAATCCAGTATCTGGACCAGTTTCTCCACAAGCCTTTATTCCCCACTTAGATTTGTCACCATGTAGCTTTGTTTGAAATTGGCCATATTTTTTTTATCCTCTATTTCTACTCACTTCTATTTATAAAGTTTTTTATCACCATATATCTGCGTTCTATGGCAATACCGAAAGAATCTGAACACGCAGTGGCCATGTTTGCATGTGTCTGTCCCCGGAAGGGTGGACTGTGATTTTATTGGATGTCTGCAGCTATTACTTTGAAGGATAAATTTTCATTTCTCATCTATTCTTCCCCATCTAGACTGTATCAGGATTAACTGTAATTCCAGTAAGTGCCTATTCAAAATTTTTAAACTTATTGTTCCTCCATTTATGCAATTTTCACAAACTTTAGATTAAGACATGGTGTGCATCCTTTTTTTGTTTTTGTTTGCATACTTAAAATGACTTGCATTTGAAAAAGACGTAGCAAATTCCATGGGTGTGAAAAGAAATCATCGCACATGGCTTACCTTACCTGCCCTAGAGTTGCCTTGTCCCCATCCCCACCCCACCCCCTGAAATTTCAGGCCAAACATCTAAGGAGTTTCAAGGACAGTTTAAAGAATCAGGCATAGAAATGCCACAGAGTCTTCTGTCATCTGCAGAGCATCCTTCAGTTTCCCTAAAAGTCAAAGCAGTTGTGGAAGTTCTTCCCCTGTGTTCCAGTAAGACTAAATATGTCTTGTATGTGAGGAAAGGATGACTGTATACCCCTAATTACTGAGGAATTATCTGCCTTTTTGTTTTGTTTTTTAAAAAAAGATTTATATTGAAATTTTCTCAAACAAATTAGAAACACATAATAAAAAACAACACAAGACACACAACAGAACTTGACTGTGAACATAGTCCTGGTTCCACTGGAGCCAACTCCAGGAGGCTGTGGGTGCTGGGTGCCCACAAAGTCAATGGGCAAAGTTGTCCCAGGCACCCACAATATTCAGCACAAGATGACACCTATGTCTGGTTCTGCTTGTTGTTGTGCAGGCAGGTGGGAGGACTGAAGAGGGCACAACCATAGAGAAGAAACAGCAGTCTAGAAGGCCAACGAAAGTACCTTATACATTTTTAAGGTGTCTTCACTCACCCTTTCTTCCCTGGCAGCGGCGACGGTGGCACCATTTTGTGGTTCGCCTCAGATGCCAAAACGTCTTGGGCCGGCCCTGTCAGTCCCACTTCTTTTTCCAGTCGGAAGTTACGATTGCTCCATAAGTCTGCAGTTTTGTACACTGGGAGTAAATTCCGCTGAGCTCAGTGGAACGAGTGGATACGTATTGGAATTTCACTGTACACTGATTTCTCCCCCCAGCCCACCAAATATATACACATTGAAATGAACTTTCACAGTGTGATATATCAAAATCTGTTTATGCTGCGTTGAACAACAACAAAAACCAGGTAGAGCTTTAACAGATTGATCTATTGATTGAAGTTCACACCAGTAGCTTTTCTCCACAGCCTCTGTTAGTGTGGGAACTCTGGTTGCATGGTCCCAACTATCGGTAGCATCAAGGTCACAGGGGTCAGCAAACTTTTTCAGTAGGGGGCCAGTCCACTGTCCCTCAGACCTTGTGGGGGGCCGGACTATATTTTGAAAAAAATAAATAAATGAACGAATTCCTATGCCCCACAAATAACCCAGAGATGCATTTTAAATAAAAGCACACATTCTACTCATATAAAAACATGATGATTCCTGGACTGTTCGCAGGCCGGATTTAGAAGGTGATTGGGCTGGATCCGGCCCCCGGGCCTTAGTTTGCCTACCCATGAAAGGAGTTAGGAAGGAGGGCAGGGCCCGTCTTCGGACCAGCAAACAATGAGGTGAACCTCAAACAGTGGTGAGAAAAAATGGTTGCTTGATTACAGAAACATTGCAAACCGCTATTGCACCTGATACATTTTGAGCACCCACTGAGTGCAAGTGGTGGTAGATTTTTGCCACCACCACCACTTGCAATGTTTCCCCCCATATTATTCTTCCATTGTTGATATTCTTACAAACAAAGAATTGACCTCCCTATTCCAAATAAAGAGGGTGTGCAGTCGATGATATTTTTTATGTCCCATAAGATTATATTTGTGTGATGGCTTCTTTTACACACTAAAAATATAAGATCTCTTAGACTGAATCGGTTTTTTTCCTATGTGTCTTACATCATGCTTGATAAATTTTTAACCTTTCTGATATTATTTGGATTAAGATGCTATGTTCTGAAAGAGGATTGTGGACTGTGATTTTATTTTGAGTCTGTGGACCTCCCAAACTTTCTATAGTAAGTACAGTACATTCTAGTTTTCCTTTTGTGGTGGGCAGAGGTGTGGGGAGAGAGTGTTAAATGTTGCAGACGTCGTGTGACAAAAATAGCTATCATGCCCTTGTTTTAAACCAAGTGACTGAGGCATGATTGAGTCAAAGCTAAATGCTTCTTTTCCCCATTGATTTCCGTGGGAGAGACTTAAATATAACCTTAGCTCTCCCATGGAAGGTAAATGGGCTCAAAAGTAGTTAACTTTGGCTGGAACATGTTTTGAATTTCCATTCAGGAAACATATTGCTATTCAATTCCAGTTCACTGCAATGGTGCTTACTTGCTGCATTTGACAGCAGGCGAACATTTGATGGATTACTGCCAAAAACATCATTCTCAAAACCCTTTGGGTTTTCTAGTTTCAGGTTGGTTGGTTGGTTGGTTTGGAAACACTTGGAATGTGAGATTACTTGTTTGCAGCACAAATCAACAACAACAAAATGTGCACCTTTCACCCAGTTGCCTTCTTTCGGTGGGGCAAACTGAATTACAGGTCTTTCTGTATGTGATATGACAAAATAGAAACTAGAGTGGAGAAAAATAGCTAACGCAAACGGAAGTATCATTATTAATTATCATCATTGAAATATTGACCGCAGTTCTCAATCTCAAGCATTCTTGTAGTTCACATTCAAATATAACACATGCATTGTGTAAAAAGTATGTTTAATATTTTCCAAAGCACAGAATTACATCGTGACAATTTAAATAGTGATGTACCAAGAAGGTGGAAAATACTATTTAAATAAGAAATTGCCCTCCCGCAAGAAATGTTTCAAAATTTGTGTCAGAATCGTAGTCATTCAAGAGAAAAGGGGCATATTGTTGATATTTTTTAAAAAAATATGTCTCTGGCATTGCAAACAAACCTCAATGCAAGCATAAAGTCACAGGTATAATGAAAAGCAACAGTTCACCACAAGCACAATAAATGACTTTTGTTATTGCTGAGAAGTGCATTTGTTCTGTGGAGCTAATGGCAGGTGGTATAGGAGACTTAGATTTCCTATGGAATAACCATAATGCCTTTCTATGAGCAAAAAAAAACTGTGGAGAACAACCGCGAAGAACACCAGTAATATGGGTGACATCCAGCAAAGTCGTATACTGAGTTAGACCCATTGAAAACAACAGACTTCAGCTGTGTTTACTTTCAATGACTTTATTCTGAATATGACTTAGCTGGGGAACTTTTTGACCACCATTTGTTGGTGAACTACAACTTCCAGCAGTTCTAGCAGGTATGGACAATTCCTAGGGATGATGGGAATTGTATTTCAACAAATCCTAGAGAGCCATATGTTCCCCACACCTGACTTAGTAGCATACAGCACTTGCTTAAGAGCTGGAACGTAAGTGGCAAAGTGCTTTCATGTTCTGTGTGCGCTACGTGAATCATTCTATTCATTTATGGAATGAGGATGCTAGGAATCAGTAGGCCTGGTAGGTGCGCAACAAGCATGTTAACTCTACATGCACATTGGCCGTTCATCTGTTAACTGCATATAAGGTGGGGAGAATAAGGTTTCAATGGTGTGTTTTAGTCATGGCTGCTATGGCAGTTGTGTCTTTTCTCGTCCCACGATTAGAGCGCTGAGTCAAAAGGTGAATGTAAGTAAGTTGCAGTTAAGTTAGCTACATGATCTGGGTAAAACTTTGAAACTGTTAACATGAGTCCCCAGACATAAAACAAGCTAAGGGACATCGTTGGTTTTCATGCATCGGTCTCTCTTTTGCCACACCTTCATTTCAGACTCCTTTGCAGTTTCTTCTTTCCATGTTTTGATAGAAGCAAATCATTATAAACAGGAGCTGAAACGATTGTTTGCAAATATTTGAAATCCACCCCAAATTTGAAATGTTTTAAATTCAGAATTAAAATCATTTTATCTCAGAACTTTCCGACGTCTCTTAAATGTTTTCATTTTAGCAGGCATCAAAAACTGTCAGCTGTCAAATAATATAAAATACCAAATACCATTGCATTTTATCTTCAGTATGCTGTCACATGCTAAATATCATTTTGTTTGTACCATCAGGCATCAAATACTGTTTTCAAATGTACTAGTATGACAAGTGGTGATAGCAAATCTCCAGTGAATATTTAGGGAAATATTGTAAGAAAATCTACAGACTGTTTGAGATAAGTATACATACAGAATTCTGGTGAATGCATTTATTTCAGCTCCACGATAGATTTCCTCTTATGATAAAACCACACTGACTGTCTGCTTCAGTTAAGTATGTTGAGTTTTAGGTAAGCAATGCATACTTAGGAATCTACAATTTCTGTGACCAGGTATCACTCAAGCATTATTAAAGACAGGAAACAAATCTACTTTCAATGACTATTACTATACGTTTCTCTGGTCATGTAAACACTGCCACCAGTTGTCAAGAAGGCGTAAATAATTACGGCCATTTCCAGCACCAAATGTTGGAGTTTTGTTGTGAATACACCAAAGTCATTCATAGCATTCCCAACATTGGTCCTTCCAGTAAACTCCATGTTCCTGTAGCTTAGGGACACCCAGATAGAACTACAGGTACCAAGATGGAAGTAGCTACATGGGATCACCTGGAACATGGCTGAACAGTGGAACTGCCATTGAAAGAGAATTAATGAAAGGAACAGCAAGACGACCAGAGTGTGTCATGGAGATTCAAGCGGGTAATGTATCAGCCAATGGAATAAAATACAATGCAAACATTTGCTCCTACACTGTGGCTGTTAGGTTGGTTTTCCTTCACTATATCCATGCCTATCACATTGTATGCAATAATTCTGTGAAAATGCTTTCCAGCTGTAAAGGAAACATGACTATTGCAAGAAAAATAGAGCCCCAAAATCATTTAGACTGGAAAGCCATGTTGGAGAATACAGCTGAATGTCTTTACCGTTGCCGATTTATTTACATACCACATTTTTCCACAAGTAAATCTGTGCTCAAAGCGGTTCACAAAATAATAATAATATCAAAGTCCAAATATGTAATTCAGTGACAATGCATAATCAAACATATAGTATCAGTGCAACGTAACACTGGAAAAAGACAATGACTCAACCATTTACAGTTCATTTAACATATATAAACATTTAAATAAGCTCACAACCTATAAACAGATCAAGACAAAGTATCCATTAAGCAACTCCTGTATGAAGGCTGCTAGGACAACCCAGAGCAACGCAGGTGACACCCAACATCTCCTGATGTCAACCACAGAATCTCTCCCACATCTCTTCTGGAAACAGCTCCCTTGTCATAAGATGATAGGAGAACAAATACGGCAAAGGAAGAAATTTAAGAAAGGAATACAGTCTTTTGTTGCTGTTGTTATGCAAGGCCAATTTGTACTACAGGCCTTCAAACACATACGCTGCCGTGTTCTCCTCCCTTTTATCAGTCTACCTTTGAATTGAGGCATGACTCAGTGCCAGACGTTGTTCCCTTGACTGGCCTTCTGCACATGTAGCCAAGGTGGCTCACGACATCCGCCCACCTCTTCCTCTGTGCAACAAACCTCTTTGTTTCCTTTCCGTTCTCCCATCACTTCCTTCCCTGCAGACAGCGGTACTCAAGCGACCCATGTGTTCGTTACTCTCCTCTACAGCTACCTTTCTTTAATGGGACTTGAAATGGAGCAATACTTAATGGGTTGTACTTGAAGATTGCACTTTCAATTAAAAAGCACACACAGGCAGATATTTTGCCTATTATCCCACTTCCTCTGGCTCTTGCTGACTGAAAAGCTCTCTTCCATAATTTTCAGGTCTCAGTAGGCCTCAGCTGATACTCAGAGATATTTTTTGCATCCACTTTGCTGCTTTCCCCTCTTCATTATTGGATCTGTTTTTGTTTTGTTTGTTTTTTTAGTAGGCACTTTTGGGTGATGGAAGGAAGCATTGCATGTTTTCCTTTTCATTCGTTATGCTTCCGTTCATGTGTGCTTGATTTGTATGTCAGCACTGTGTTGCTTCTAATGGTGGGCATTCTCTTTAGGTCACTAATTTGAGTGCTTCCTGCAGTGTTGCAGGAGTTTCTGCAGTTCCTCTGCTTCTTGCACCACTGGAATAATACTATGTGTTTCTCTCATTTGGCTCAAGTCTTCTTCAGCTGGCTTGTTAGAACTTGAAGGGGCCACTAGTATGGAGCGATGCCCATTCTTAGTTGTGAGAGATTAATGGTGCGTAGCAAGGCATTTTGATATACATCACTGTCATGAAACTGAGAGTCTATTTTCTATACGACAGCCAAGCTTTTCAACTTTTGTGCTACTTTTAAAGTGACAAATGGCCAGCAATAAATGTCAAACTCTGATCTTTCACTTTTTGCATTGTTTGGAATGTGATCTTATCTACATGTAAGCACAGCCGTGTCAGTCTGAAAAGGCCGCTGCTAAAATGTCATCATGAGAAACCCTAAATCAGTCTCCCAGGTGGCTTAATTTAGAGATTGGTTATAATGACGTGTTCTATCCCCTTCTGAACGCAGTGGTTGATTTCAGCTGAGGTTTCGGAGAAGATAGACAATAAGGTCTTCCAGGTTGCAGCCAGGAGATTCTATCCATACCTTTATGCTATTGCTCTTATATTTTTATCACACCTTTCCTTCAGGGAGACCATCCTATCATCAGAAATGCCAGTTGAGGCCAACAGTGATACCAAGATACCCAGTGAATGTGATGGTTGAGAGGGGAGTCAAAACTAGGTCCTGCCAAACCAAAACTAGCACACCCTCCATCAAATCACCCTAGCTCTTAGGTTGGCTACTGAAGCAGAAGACAAGCTGCGTCTTCTGTTGCCCTTCCTTTCATGCCTCCTCCATGCTGCATGACACACCTGAAGTTCTGCCCTCTACAAAAGGAAGCAAGGAAGGGAAGGCCCAAAAACAGGTACAGAAACTTTACTTAGGTGAGTAGGGGATTACCCAGGGCCTAACCAATGGAGGGAGCCACATCAATGTTGATCAACAGTACCAGATGTCAGTGTCTGAAATTACTGGACCCATTTCTTCACTTTCAAGACAGTAGCACTGATCAGTGGAAGTGTTTCCCCAAGAGTGATTTCAGTGCTTTGAGTCTGCTCCATGCTCCATTTCCTAGATTGCTGAGAGGGCCTGCATGCTTAATCAACTGTTATTGACTCACTAGCAGAAGATACCCAGCTCAGGAATTCTAAGTAACCAAAGCTTGCTGAGATTTATAAATGGATAATGCCATTTGCTTGTTTCCTTCCAAATTGGTGCAGGCTCAGCCATTCCATGCAAAATTTGGTTACTGTCTTGCTTCACAAGTCATAGCTCCCCAATTGCAGCCCAGTTGCAGCTGGTCGTATGGTCTAGGGCTAGGCAGTGGCCATGGCAACAGGGCATTGGGAAGGCGGTGTGAGGAGGCCTGATTCGCTCATGTGGCATGCCCCTTTGCAAGTGCCTTGCAATTTTCACTTGCAAGAATTTCTGCAATCCTCAGGCCACCCAAGCAGTTTCCACTTCTATTATCTTATTGGCAAATGCTAGGGAAAGATAAGTGGATGGAAGATCAAATACACAGTTCAGACGCAACACATTTCTCAGCTTGCATCTCTGAGAGAGGCAGAAACTTAATAAACACCATTCATCTCCCTGATATCTCAAGCTTTCGGTAATGCACTGGGCACATAAGAGACTGCCATCCATTCTCCTGCGGAAACTGCAAAATCTCATTTGATGATCAAATTGACTAATACATTATCCATGTGTTATCCTTATAGGATTTACTGCATGGATTGGGCAGAATAAAAGTATCTGTCCCCCCACCCCCCAGTAAATAAAAAGCCTCAGAATGCAGCAAATTATGTTACATGCTTGGTTGGTAGATATGGGCATCGTAGAGGCCTTTACTATATTCAAAAGCTGCAGTTTTGATTTTCCTGTTGTGTCTGATATAAGCGTAAAAAATCATATCATTAAAACCAGCTCCGGTTCATGCAAGCTACAAGTTCAGATCTTGCTACCACTGCTCAGATATTGGTATCAAAGTAAAAGAACAGAAGGAAGGGGATGCCAACCAAGTTCAAAGATCAGTAGATTTCTCTCCTTTTTTTGCCAGAAACATGGTCATAAAATCTCTAGTAAAGGTAAAGGGACCCCTGACCTTTGGGTCCAGTAGTGTCCGACTCTGGGGTTGCGGCGCTCATCTCGCTTTATTGGCTGAGGGAGCCGGCGTACAGCTTCTGGGTCATGTGGCCAGCATGACTAAGCCGCTTCTGGCAAACCAGAGCAGCACACGGAAACACCATTTACCTTCCCGTCGGAGCGGTCCCTATTTATCTACTTGCACTTTTGACGTGCTTTGGAACTGCTAGGTTGGCAGGAGCAGGGACCAAGCAATGGGAGCTTACCCCGTCACGGGGATTCGAACCGCCGACCTTCTGATCGGCAAGCCCTAGGCTCTGTGGTTTAACTCACAGTGCCACCCGTGTCCCGTCATAAAATCTCTACTCGGGTATAAAAAACCATCTGTAGCTCAGTGACAGAGCATCTGCTTTGCCTGCCAAAGGTCCCAGGTTCAATCTCCAACATCTCCAGATTCTACCTGAAGCTCCTTGGGAGTCACAGCTAGTCAATGTAAAGAATGGTCTGATTCAGTATGAGGCAACTGTTTATGTTCCTATGCTCCCATGCATAGTTTTATTCTGCTGGTGTATATGGATTGCATTTTCAAGACAGCACAGAAGCAAGAATGAATGGTTCAAGGAAAGCAACAATTATTATCTAGACACCCAAAGGTGAAGAACACTTAATATTTAGCAGGAGATGCTGCTTTCTTACAAAATGGAATAGGAATGAGGTGGAAACCCAAGCACACCTGTTCAAATTGTTGTTAGCTTGATCATCAAACCATACCATAGTCAACTGGATGCAGGCCCCCCTTCTTCTTCTTCTTCTTCTTCTTCTTCTTCTTCTTCTTGCATCTCACAGCTCTATGTGGGGTGCTACCCCACTCCCAACAGCCAAAGCTCAAAAATATTTCAACCTTGTGGAAATGGATGGAAAAGTAGTTATTGGTGTACCCCAAGAAAGATGGCAGAATTCTGACATGCAGCCCATCTGTGTTTTTTATTTTGCTGGAAGCCACCCAGAGTGGCTGGGGTAGCCCAGTCAGATGGGTGGCATATAAATAAAAACATTCTTATTCTCTAGTGCAGAGCTTTCCAAACTGTGTGTCATGACATATTGGTGTGTTGGCTGCAACGTATGGGTGTGTCACACAAACACTGGAAAGGGATTTAGTTCCACCTCCAGTTTGCTAGTAAAACTGAATTGCTGTGTTGCAAAATGATGCATGTCTAAAAACTGTGTCACCAACATGAAAAGTTTGGAAAGCTCTGCTCTAGTGTCAAATGACACACCAACCTCCCCCCCCCCCGCCAGTGAATGATTGGCTAGACTCATGATTCCCAGGCAGGAAATAAGACATTGGTTAGGTGGCCCAGTGAGATCTTTGGACCTGTGTTGGAACTGCCCCAAGGTGATGTGGTTTTGGTTTTGTTTAGTCTTGGGGAGACAGGAAGGTATAAGCTGGAGTACAACTTGCATTTGTGCTCTTTGAGCATTAAGTTGAACATTCAAAGAGCTTTCTCAGGTCTGCCAACACTCTTTTTCAAAGAAACAAAAGCCCATCAGGTGCAGTGAAGGTTCCTGTACCTTCATTGGTGTAGATGAGCACATGTAACTTTTCTCCAAGGATGAGAAAAGATGCCATTTGTCTTCTACAAAATTACAAAAAGTTTCAGAATGCATTTTCTGTAGGCACTTGTTCACAATAACAGTGAGATGTCCAATAATAGAATGAACAGGGTTCTTCTTCTTCCTCTGGGGATACATCAGGGGACATGTGGAACATTGGGTCAGAGAATTATTGGATTAATTCTCTTTTTTAAAGGCCATTAATTCCATGAGAAGCTTCAACAGAAAATATGACTGCATAATGAGCATTTATGGGACCTGAAACCTAAGCAGATGCTAATTGGAAGAAAAAAGATAGATTGTATTAGTAAGAACGAAGATACATTAGGGCAAAAGTGAAATGACAAAGGACAAAATGGGTATTTTTTTTACGCCTCATGCATTTTTCAAATCATCAGTAAGTGACCTTACTGCAGGTTTCTGCTACAGACCTCCAAGTCTGACCAAAGACTTGTGTGATGCCTTCCTAGAGCTGATTACCAAACATTTAAAAAGGAGAGATATTGTAGTCATGGGAGACTTCAGTTTCTCTGATATCTGCTGCAACTGAAACTCTGCCAAGAATGTAAGGTACAACAAATTCTTCAATAGCCTCATTGACAGTTTCATTTCCCAGAAGCTGGCAGAAGCAACAAGGGGATAATCTATCTTGGACTTGGGCCTCACTAACAGGGGAGTACTGATAAATGAGGTGGAAGTACTGCAAAACTTTGAGGATGTGATCTTGTCCTCTTGGGTTTCGTGGTACAGAGGCAAGGGACACCTGAGTGCAGTCAGACATGTACTTTGGACTTTAAAAATGCTGATGTCAAAAAGCTTAAGGAACTGCTGGGTGAGATCCCATGGTCAGAAATAGTCAAAGAGGAGTTCAAGATGAATGAGAGTTTCCTAGAGCTGAAATACTGCAGGCACAAATGCAAACAATTACAACGAGAAAGAAAAGTGGGAGGCATCTAAATAAACCACCGTGGTTTACAGATGAGCTGAGAGCCAAGAAGGGCATGTATAAGAAATGGAATAAAAGGCAAAGTACGAAGGAATAGTATACATAGGTAGCCAACAGTTTTGGGGAGAAGGTCAGGAAGGCTAAAGTTCAGATTGAGCTCAGGCTTGCAAGACAGATTAAAGATAATAATGATTGTTCTTTCTTCTATGTTTGAAGCGAGAGGAAGAACAAGCAAGCAATAGGTCCTCTGTGTGGAGAAGAAATGCTGATGGAGAAACAGAGAGAAGACAGAACTGCTCAGCACCTACTTCACCTCTGTCTTCTCCCAAAAGGAAAGCATTGCCCAACCTAGTAATAACAGGTTAAATGATGCAGGGTCCAAGATAGGAAAAGAGGTGGATAGGGAACACCTAGCTACTTTAAATGAATTCAAATCTCCAGGGTCTGATGAGCTGCACCCAAAGGGACTAAAGGAGCTTGTGGATGTAATTTCAGAGTCTATAATCACTGAGAATTCTTGGCTGATAGCTCTCTGCCTCCTTTCCTTGCTCCCTTTCTTCTCTATTATTCAATTTTAATGCCTCCGTTGATCAGTCCCACCCTTCCTGGCATCCGTTCTCTTCCATTTTCTCTTCCATTTTCTCAAGCTTCTTTTCCTACCAGCTGTTGCAAATTAACAAATGTTCCCTGGGAGGAAGTGTAAGTAAATCCAAAACTGCTATACTTCTGTCACTGCCCCCTTCTGTTTTCTGCCGATGGACTTTACTGCCATTATATGCCTTCAAGGCTGCTGTCTGGAGGGATTGGCTGCGCAACCTACTTTCCCATGGGGAACTCAGGCCCAAAGCCCACAGCAGACATAGTTTGGAGAGAAAAAACCTTGTGGGCCAAATTGGGAGTCTTGCTGGTTTCGCCATGGGCTGGAGATTCCCCACCCCTGCTCTGTACCATCCATAGTAGTTTGTCTGGTCATCATTTCAATTACATAGAGTTTGGGTGTTCCTTGTGTATTGGTTTGCCGAATCAGAAACACTATGTGTTCTGGAGAATCCACATGCTTTCTTGGGAGAAAGAGAGAGTCATGGCTTGCCACAGACATGAGGTGTCTTATATACTATATACCGGTTAAACTTTGCAAACAAGGTTTAAACCAAGTAGATTCCCTGAATGAGCAGTTGATCTCTCCTTTGGAACTTCTATGCATGATTGTGCCTACTATTCCATCCATTTAATCTGTGGCAGTTAGCATGAATGCAATAAGACATTCTCTTTCCTAGCTGCTACTTTGCTCTCAGAGTATAGTGGTACCTCGGGTTAAGTACTTAATTCGTTCCAGAGGTACGTTCTTAACTTGAAACTGTTCTTAACCTGAAGCACCACTTTAGTTAATGGGACCTCCTGCTGCTGCCGTGCCGCTAGAGCATGATTTCTGTTCTCATCTTGAAGCAAAGTTCTTAACCTGAGGTAATATTTCTGGGTTAGCGGACTCTGTAACCTGAAGTGTATGTAACCTGAAGCGTATGTAACCCGAGGTATCACTGTATAGGCTTTTTTCCAAAAAAAATTATTAGTTTTCCACAAAATTTTTAAACACACAAACAAATAAACAAACAAACAAAAATCCTAACCTTATTGTAACTAATCTTATTAAGATTGTTACGCGACTTCCTCATATCCCCTTGGTTGAATTTCAGTGTATATCATTTTAACGGTTTTCCAAAACCAATATTCTCATAAAGTTAACTTAGTCACTTAACATCTTTCTAACTTTCCCATTTGGCATTTCAACATATTAATTTATCACATTGCATATTTAAATCCTATGCCTATCTAGTATTTGCAAACTTTTTCAATTAAGTTATCTTAACATATTTGGCTAAGTAGTCTTTATTTATTTTTTCCATTCTTCCTGGTACTCCTCCTCCTTCTGGTCACGGACTCTTCCGGTCAGGTCAGCTAGCTCCGAGAAATCCATCATCTTCATCTGCCAATCTTCCACTGTTGGTACTTCTTGTATTTTCAGAGTATAGGCTTTTTAGGGGTTGACTTTAATTAGTTCTTTTGGGGTTTTTTTTTTGCGTGGAATATATTTCCATATAGAAATAAATATGCATTAGTCATGCACAGCGGAAAAAAGTTCATTGTTGCCATCAACAGTTTGTTATATGTGAATTCATTCCTCACTTCATGAATTTTTCCTAGATAAAAAGATCCCAGCGGGCACTTAGTTCCTGTGCTCTTTAAGCTGTTACTCTCCATTATCATTATGAAAATAAGATCAGTAGCTCAATTGGAAATATGTTTGCTGAAGAGGTAATGGCATTAAAAAGCTTGCTGGAACTGTGTGTCGCCACCACCAACAAAAAAATCTTCTATTAAAATGACTTTTCGGTGTCTAGTATGTTTTACATTTGTGCCTATTAAAATGCATGAAATATCTCTTCTTATCTCCATTAGGCATTCAGCAGCTTATTACTGAGACCTTGTAAACTGTTTCCTTAATATCTGGTACTTCACAATGAGTGTAACAAATCACGCTTGACAAGATAGTTACAATTGCCATCCAGGCACGGCTCCCATTGCAAGCTGGGCACAGAATGCTGTCCATTTAATTTTTCAGCATTTTTGAAGGCCTTATTGAAAGTCATCAGAAGACTATTTCCTGCTTAATGTACTGATTTAGATGCACCTAGGAATGGTGGTTCTGCTAGTTTTGCTTTCTCTCAGCATCTCACTTTTCCAATCTTAAATTCAGCTTGTCACAAATTTCCAAAGCAGCTGAGGAAGGGGAAAGTTCTCATAAAAACATTCTCAGCATTTTACTTCACATTTATTCTAATACAAACATTTCTGAAAACAATTTCCCCGTAATACAATGCATTTTATATTTATAAAACAAAGCATGTTCCTTTAGGAGAAAGGGTGGGATAAAAGTGCAACAACAATAATTGAACAATAATTTATTGAAGCAGGATTCACCAGTCTTTCCACTAATACGTGAATTTTGATGGCTTGCTGCATTTTGATTTGGTAAATGTGAATTGTGGAGGTTTAAATTAACATGTGGAGTGAACTAGATTTTCTCCCCTGTTGTCTGTTACACCCACAGTAGGAGGTTGATACATTTCCATGGGATTCGTATAACAGCAAATCAAGCTCTGTGCAATACAGAGAAATTATTTGTATCCTGAAATGGGTATAAATAATATGATAATAATTCAAAAAACAAGCCTTGGTTTTTTTGAACAGATAACCTACATTTGAGACATTGGTTGATGTATCAGGGTGGCTGGACAGTGATCCACATTGCAAAGTATTGTGTCTTTGGAATTTCCAACGTCATTTTCAGCTCTTGATGGAATAAAATACAAGATGAAGACTTCAGCTTAGAGTCACTGACACATACAAAAAAATATGCTTGAACCGCAGTACTTACCTGACTACCTTCGTAACTTTACTACTAAGTAAGGGTATTTCCTGTTTTAAAATGTATTAATCTTCCTGTCAGCAGTATTTCAAATGAGAAAGGCATGATACAAATGTAAGAAATTTGAAGCCATTTCTGTCTAAAATGTGAGCAATAACATTATTTCAATTTCTACATTCATTTCAAAAATCAGGTAAGTTTTTATAACTCACCTTCTACATATATTTGCTGGTATTTGCTCCTTGGAGATCACAAAACTAGAGAAGAGGAAGATTATCTCTGAGCAATAACTTAAAAGAAAAGGATGGAAAATAATGTAGAAATATTATTCACTTAGTGTCTCCTTACCTTATAGCAGGGGTAGTAAATATAGCAACTACAGCTCCTATCAGTCCCAAGGAACTTGACCAGCGGTCAAGGGTGATGGGTGTTGGAGTCCAACAATATCTGGCAAATACCTTGTTCACAATGCTGTTACTAAAAACAAGGCAAGAAAGTCACAACCAAAAGCATCAATCCTGGCATCAGATTCCGCTCAAATAACTAAGGGTGCTTCCAGACTGTCACTCTTTTGTGGGGATGATGCGTACACTTTATGAAATAAATAAAACAAATTGCAAATGCTAGAAAATTCAGGTTGCACAATTAAAGTCACTTTGGTGCTCTTGCGCAACAAATGTGTTTCCCTTCCATTTTTATTTATTTTTTAATCCTCAAGCTTTTTGCAGGAAGGGAAGTGATTGGAGACTGCAGTGGAAAAGGTGGGATGGCAGTTGTTTCATCCAATGTCATATATGCCCACCCCAACCAAATTAGAACAAATGCTCAGTAAACAGCTGCTGTTGTGTAATTCGCCCACAAACCTTGGTGATGGGGTGCCATCACCAAGAGGGCTCTCCCCTACATTGTCATATAGTGGGCTCCAGCTAAAAATGATGCAATCAATAGAACCTACCTGGTAAATCCTAAAAAAAATGGGCAGGTCTGTACAGCAAAAGGTGTACCTTGGCTCCAAGTTCGATTGGACATAAATACAAGGACCTTGAAGCAGACTCAGTAGCATATAGACAGCCAGGGCTTGTCCCCTGCCCCATCCAAATTGCTGTTACAACTGGATAATCCATATGAAGCTCTTGGAAAACTTAGAGTGTTATACAAACATTAAGTATTAAGTATCTCTCAGCAATTTCCAAGTGGTCAATGATGATGATGATTATTATTTTTTTTAAAAAAAAAAACAACTTCTGATCAGGCCTTAGAATGAAACTGCTAATGCGAGACAGTTGTGAGTTGAAAGTGTGGAACCAGTAGATAAAACTGAATAAATAGCAACAACAACAATACTATTGTTATTGCAAATATTGCAAAGCCATTGTGTGACCAGGCACGACAGCCCCAGCCCCCAGGAATCATAAGAAAGGAATAAAGACTCTGACAACATTATGGAATTAAAATTAGGCCACAACTTTATTAAACATCCGAATGTAGGAAGACCATGGCTTAGGCCTTGGTCATGTATCCCTCCCAGACCCCCCAGCCGGGGGAACTGGGGCACATCAGGGTAAATGGGATATGGGGGTGCTCTGCGAGACGTAAGTGTAGCAGGCAGCCCAGCCCATATCCCCGCA